ATGAATCCAAGGAAGCTCTGAGAATATCATCAATACCAGAGAAGAGGTATTTGACATTGCACATGCACAAAATCCCAAGAGGAGATGGGGAAGCACTATTACAGGCAGGTTAAGTAACCTGGCCTAGATTACTTACCTGATAATGGCAAGGCCATATATCTAGACAGTGGACCAGAGCCTATTCTCTCAACTTCCAAGTACTACGACCGCTACAACAGGCAAAGCATTTTCTCTTTTCAGGAAGACAAGGGGCCTAGGTTCTATAGTCTTGGCTCTAACAATAAAAATGTCATGATCATTAAAGTCCTTTTTCCCAAAAGATCTCAATTTCTCCCTTCTTTAAAATGAGGGTGTGGAACCACATGATCTCTAGGAGCTTCTCCATCTCAGAGCCCCTAGGAATCTGTTTTAAAGTTGAAACAATAAGACATCAAATGGTGCCTTCAAGAAGAGAAGGCTCTTGTCATTCCTAGCTGGTCTCTGCCCCAACCTTGATGAATTACAAAGAGTACAGCTCTTCGGACAGCAGCTTGAGGCCCATTACATTTCTTCCTGACATCTGTTCAGAATCCTAAATGGCCATCCAGGAATTCTTTCATTATAAAAATATTTATCAAGGGACCATGTGTTCCAGACAACATGCCAAGTGGGGTGGGGCAACCAGAAACCAGACGCAATCCTCAGGCTTGGGCAGCTCACGGTCTAGTGGGGAAGACAGAGTTGCAAGTAGAGAGATTCAGTTCAGCTCTGTGTATAAGAGGAGTGTCTAATCTAGAACTAATAGAGGAATATCAGGACAGGTTTCCAGAAGGCTGTAACATCTAATGTGAGGCCAAAGGGTGAGGACTAATCACAGGGCTCATATATAGAGTGGGTGTTATTTCCAGGCAGATGAAATACTAAAGCCCTAAGACAAGAAGCAATAAATATCTTACAATTGGAGCATGAAATGCAAGAGGATAAGGAGTAAAACAAGGGGTGGGACTACAGAGTCCAGCAGGAGCCAGGTTACACCAACTCAGTGAGCCACAGGAAGGAGTTTGGCCTTTAGCCTGCAGGTAATAGGGAGGCTTATGCAGCAGAAAGTTCACTGCTATCCACTGAATTATGTCCCTCTCCAAAAAGTATGCAAGAATCCTAGCCCCTAACATCTCAGAATGCATCCTTATTGGAGATGGGGACCTTACAGAGGTAATCAAGTTAAGATGAGGTCATTAAGGTGGGTCCTAATCTCACATGACTAGTGTCCTTATAAAAAGGGGATATTTGGACACAGAAATCACATGCACACAGGAAAATAATATAAAGGACACAGAGAGAAGACAGCTGTCTACAATCCAAGGACAGAGGTCCCAAACAGATTCTTCCCTCACAGTCAACCCTAACAGCACCTCAATGTCGGACTTCTAGCCTCCAGAACTGTGAGAAAACACATTTCTGTTGTTTTAGCTACTTGGTTTGTGGTATTTTGCTATGGCAGCCCTAGCAAACTAATATAATGACTTACTCAAATTTTCATTTTAGAGAAATCGATCTTTCCACAATGTGGAGAATGGATTGAAAGGAGTGCCTTGTCTGCAAGGAACGGGCTACAAAGACAATTGTATGGAGGCAAGAGATGGCAGAGGCTTCCACAAGGGCAGGAATAGCAGAGACTGAAAAGTCTATCAGGTTGATAGACTGAAAAGCTTTGCAAACAAAATCTCCAATATGTGATCATAGGTTGAGTATGGGAAATGAGAGGAAATGAACCCGGGGAAGTGGGCAGTCCATGTTTTCAGCTCAGACATACAAGTGGCCAAAGTCTAGCCCACCATCCCATCAGGAGTCTTAAGCACAAGTTCTGTACAAACAGGCAAATTAAGGATATACTGCACCATCACTGTCTTCATCACAACACCCAGTGCTGGCCTTAACTTTGAGATACCCCCGGCTCCAATGACAGGTGTGGCTTTATTTTTTTCAGCAATATATTTACTGAATACACACAATGTACTGTACTAAGCTCTGGGGATATAATGGTGGGATAAAGGAAACAGGATCCTTGGGTGCTATATCAAGGAGAAGATGAGTATTAATCACATAAGTAAACAAATAATTACAGACTGTGTTAAGAGTTATGAAAAGCCGAGTCCTCTGAAAGCGTGTAACAGATGACTCCATCCAGAAAAGTGATAGCTGAGTTGATATCCAAAGGACATAGAAAAAAGAATGAGGACCATCCTGAGCTGGTGTACAAAAATGTCTGATACATTTGAGGAAGTGTATGAGGCACTTAGGGAAAACAAGATGGAATGACCCTGGACAGGAGCTAACTGAGTTTATCGTAGAGAGTGGAGAATCACCAAAGAGCTTTGGGTTCCCGAAACATGGTAGGGACTCAAATATTCATTTTATTTTTAAATAAGGCCTTTGTAGACATAACCAAGTTGAGATGAGGTCATACTAACTTAAAGTGGTCCTAATCCAATGACCTGTATCCTTATAAGGAGGGGGAAAGTTGAATGCAGATGCAGAGAGGCGAATGCCATCTAAAGACAGACACAGACACAAACACAAAGGGAAGACGAACACAGGAAGACAGAAGCAGAGACTGAAGAGATGCATCTATGGCTGAGGTGCACTGAGAATTACCAACAACCACTGGAAGCTAGAGGAGCATAGAACAGATCCTCCCTCAGAACCTCCAAAATGAACCAGCCCTGCTAACACTGTGATTTTGGACTTCTAGCCTCCAGAACTGTGTAAGAATACACAGAATAATTGTTGTTTTTAGCCACCCAAGGTACGGTATTTTGCTATGGCAGTCAAAGAAAATGGACACAGATTTTAATCTAGAAAGTTGGATGACCAAATGGTCTAAAGATTACTGTGGTGCAGAGAATGGTGGGGGAGGACATGTCAAAGGTGCACAGAAACACCCATCTGTCATCGCTGGGGCAGTACTACAATGATCTTGGTAGGAAATACTGGCTTTGACCAAAGTGTAGTAGGAGAGACGAAAAAAGTTACAAAAAAATTTTTTTCAAGAGATATTTAGGGGCTAAAATCAGAATCTGGGAAGAAATGAAGCTCATCCTGATGGATAATAAACTGGAAAAATTCTTGGAATTCAAGCAACACCTGCCCCATGGCATAACCCTAGATAGATAGATAGATAGATAGATAGAGAGATAGAGAGAGAGATAGATAGAGAGATAGATAGATAGATAGATAGGAGAGGTTTTTGCCATAGGGCGCTTGCACTCGCCACACAGAGAGAGATATAGAGAGACAGAAAGCGAGAAATCACTCCCCAGGGGGGATGGCAACATCACAATCCCTTCTCCTCCATTCTCCTCTCGGGATCTTGGGCATGCACACACACGTGCCCGGCGTGAGTTTTAAGCCACCGGGTCCGGGACGCAAACTGTGGTTGACTACGTGGGAGTTCAGCGACATAGCCATTACGCTAACTGCTGGTCCCACCCTAGACTTTTTGATTGTCACACAGTCAAAGGATTTTTCCATTTTCCTCTTTGTTTAGTCTAGTATTGTCCCCTGCTGTTTCTTCATTATTAGGCATTCATCAGAGTCATCCCTCTAATGTATATTGTGTTTATGGTTTACAAACTGCTTTTACATGTCTTTGCTTTTCTCTTGAGAGTAGTGAAGTAGAATTTATCTTATGTATGAGAGAAGTGAAACTCAGAGCAGTGATTTTGCCAAAGACACTGTGAGTAGATGGTAGAGCTAAATTTGAAACCCGTATTTCCAGCCCTAGTGCTTTCCTGTGCCCTGACAGTTTCATAAAAACACAGCCCCAGTTGACATGAGGCTCAAAGGAGGTCTTGTCTCAAGCAATTAAAGTATGTATGCACCATTGATTTTGAAAACTTGTCAGTTATTGGAATGAAAACATCAAAGCTGAAAAGTTCCAGATTGAAAAATAGCACCTCTACACATTTGTTTTTGGCAGGAACTTATGAACTTCCTAAAATGAGAAGGTATTGTTTTTTTGTTTCAAGTTATCCTGGTTGGGATCCAGACTGTGGTCTTTCTAGGCTGCATGGTCTTGAGAAAAGCTCTTAACACGTTTAACTTTGATCTGTTAGGAAGCTTTGAACTAGTGCAAAAGGTTGTTTTGAGTAAAATATATCAAGTATTTAACACCATGCCTGACACAGAGCAAGAACTCAGTATTTCTTAGGGGTTTGCTTTATTTGCATACTTGTTTCCAAATCATATAAAACACAAATATTTTTATTCTAAAGTCTCATAAACTCAGAGGAAGGGTGGTCAAACAATGAAAAATATAAAGGCTACAAGATTTTGCAAAGAAGTATAAAACAGTTGTTTTTAGAAATATCCAGGAACACTTGACAGGCAAGAGGATTTGGGTCAGAAGTAAAGGATGAAGTAAAGGAAGAAGATGAGGAGGAGTAAGAAGAGGAGGAGGAAAGAGAAAAGGAGAAGGAGAAGGTAGTGAAGTAGGGAAGTATTTACTCTCCCCGTATTATAGATGAGAACACCAAGAATCAGAGATGTCAGGTAACCTGTCTAAGACTACAGAGCCAGAAAGTGAAGGAGCTGATTTTTAAATGTATGCTTTTAGCAAAAATCAGTACGCTGCGCTGTGTTGCTTTCTAGTGCATCCATGGTCACAGCAGTAGCATTTTATTATACTTATTTGTTTAAAGGCTTCCCTTCCCCACTAGACTGCAACAACCTCAAGAACAGGAACTAAGAATTACTCATCTTTGTAATTCCAGTGTTGAGTTCTCAGTGAGTATGTAATGCAACAGTGTTGACTAATTGGAAATATATAAATCCCCATTTATAAATGTTTTACTAAGTAGGTCCATATGCAGTGTAACTTTTATAGTTTAAATGAAAATGTTGGCTCTGAGAATCTGATTATAAACACTGTGTAGGAATCCTGGGAGCAATAGGAAGAAATTTAAACTTGATGATTTGTAAATGCTAGGCTTTTTTTCCATATTCATTGATGATGCAGGGTCATGAAAGGAGTCAACCAAACCAGCAGTGTGTCCGAGTTCATCCTCCTGGGACTCTCCTCCCGGCCTGAGGACCAGAAACCACTCTTTGCTCTGTTTCTCATCATGTATGTGGTCACCGTGGTAGGGAACTTTCTCATCATCCTGGCCATCCGCTCTGACCTTCAGCTCCAGACTCCCATGTATTTCTTCCTCACCATCCTATCCTTCATTGACGTTTGCTACACAACAACCATCGTTCCCAAGATGCTGGTGAACTTCCTGTCCGAGCGGAAGTCCATCTCCTATGCTGGGTGTATGACTCAGATGTATTTCTTCTTGGCTTTTGCCAACACAGAAAGTTACCTCCTGGCCGCCATGGCCATTGACCGCTATGTGGCCATCTGTGACCCCTTCCACTATATCACCATTATGAGCCCCCGCCGCTGCGTCCTGCTGCTCATTTTCTCCTGCTCCATTTCTCACCTCCATTCTCTCTTACTAGTTCTTCTGATAAATCGTCTTCTCTTTTGTGACTCCAATGTTATCCACCACTTCCTCTGTGACATCAACCCTCTGCTAAAACTGTCCTGCTCCTCCACATTTGTCAATGAAACTGTAATTAACACGGAAGGATTGATAACCTTGGTGACTCCTTTCATATGCGTTATCATCTCTTACCTACGAATCCTCGTGGCTGTTCTTAAGATCCCCTCAGCTGCTGGCAAACACAAAGCCTTCTCTACCTGTGGATCCCACCTCACCATGGTGACCCTCTTTTATGGGAGCATTATTTATGTTTACTTCCGACCCCTGTCCAGCTATACCATTAAGGACCGAGTGGCAACAGTCATCTACACAGTCTTGTCCTCCATGCTAAACCCGTTTATCTACAGCCTGAGAAACAAAGACATGAAGCGGGGCTTGAGGAAGCTCATGGGTAGAAGGCCATCCTAGGCAGCATCTCCACGGACCTCCCAAAAGTAACTCTTCCCCAGGGGGCCCTGGTTTCTGCTGATTCCTGGAGCGTATATCAAGCTACTGAGGACCAGTATGGAAGGTCACTTCCAATGCAAAAAAAAGTACATGATATTAAAGAGTTTCAGATCCTCTTTTTTTTTTTTTTTTTTTTTGAGAGGTTTTTTTTGCTATAGGGCGTGTGCGCTCACCCGACAGACAGAGAGCCAGAAAGCGAGAAATCACCCCCCAGGGGAGATGGCCACACCACAATCCCCTCTCCTCCATTCTCCTCCTGGGATCTTGGGCACGCATGCACACACGCCCGGCATGAGGTTTAAGCCAACGGGTCTGGGACTCGAACTGCGGTCGACTACATGGGAGTCCAGGGACATAGCCATTATGCTAACTGCTGGTCCCACGCTAACTGCTGGTCCCCAGATCCTCATTTTCAGAACTGACAATGGCGATGTTTTTTAATAAGATACATGTCTAAGTAAGACGGATTTTAGAAAATGTACCCATTTAAAACATCTTATTAGAATTACATTGGGCCACAGAGTTTTCCACTGTAAATAAATATCAACACCCTCAGTTACCCTGGGTTAAGGTAGTGATACTGTGGCAAGAAATGAAAACTCAAGAATACGGTAGAAAATTGGATATTTTAAGTGAACATCTAAAAGCAGAAAGCTTAAATTAACATTGTTTGGTGGGAACCCTTTCTTGCTATTCTCGATCATTCCTTCTATGTGAGAAGAATTTAGCTAATGTTTTTTATACCCCATCACTGTTTTTACTCCAGAGTATAGAATTGCTTTATTTGACTGCTACATGCAAAAAGCATTCATTTGGCCTGTGTCAAAGCAAAAATTGCATCTGACAAAGTTAAACAGATGAGAAAAATTTTATTCAAGCCTACTGTAATAGGGGAGAGAAGCCAGACCTCAGTCTGAATTCCACTCTGAGCAGGATGTTCTTTAAGTGAAAGGATGAGCTCATGGGAAACCACTGAAAAAGGTTAAGGAGTGGTCACAGACCACCTGTGTTTGTTAATTGGCTTTATCAAAACAAAAAAAAAAAAAAAAACAAAACTTCCCATATCTTTACTGCAAGAGGCAATTTTACAACTTAGAAAAAGATGTCTGCTGAAGTTAGGCTCCCACCTTCCCATAGAAATGGGGAGATAAAGGATCTATCTTCTTTAGTGATTACATTTCAAAGGAATGGCTCCTGAGTCCTTAAAAAAGATGTTTCTAGGTTGTAAAACTGGAAAGAGGTGTTTTGTTTGTTTTTGTTTGTTTATTTGGTTTTTTAAAGATTTTCATCTCAAAAAGAGAAAAAATTCACAATGAGAAGTTTCCTAAAGCGAATACTCTAAGAAAGGGAGGTCAGGAGCCAGAGTCAGGAAGAAGCCTGTCTAAAGGTTAGTCAAGTTTTGAAGGGAATGTCACCACCATCTTGGATACCTGCTTCAGTCAGCCTTCACCCACATGAGTCATGAATTCTGCTTGGCTTTTTCTATGCCTGTGGATGCAATAGCCTAATTTTAGCCCTTTTGACTTTCATTTGAAGCTATGTCCTCCAATATCATCTCAATCAATAATAAATGTGGCTGCCATCTACCGCCCCTTTGTCCTATTTCTCATGCCTTCTCAGAGACCTCCGAAGTCAGGACTGACCCTAACCAGCTATAGAGAGATTCTTGTAAATCACTCCTTGAGAAAGAAGCATACTTTACCATACTGTCTCAAGGGGGCTTTTCAAAGCCCAGCTACCTACCTACAAACATTCTAACCTGCATATTACCTGTCAGTGATGTGTTTTGTATCCTTAACTGGACTAGTGTGAAGCATATTCATGTTGGGTACATTCAACTTACAAACAAATTGATATATAGTAATTAAATGTATAAATGTATCGTTTTTTTGAGAGAGAGAATTTTTTGCTATAGGACAAGTGTGCTCACCAGAGAGACAGAGAGACAGAAAGCGAGAAATAACTCCTCAGGAGGACTGACCATGCCATAGTCCCTTCTCCATTCTCCTCTCAGGATCTTGGGTACACATGCACATGTGCCCAGTGTTAGTTTTTTAAGTTGCTGGGTCTGGGATTTGAGCCACAGTTCACTATGAGGGAGTCCAGCAACGTAACCATTATGCCATCTGCTTGTCCCATAAATGGACAAAAATTTTTAAAGCAAATAAATAAATAAATAAATATCGTATCTCAAGTCTAAAATATTTTGATATGAGATTTTGATAAGTTGGTCAATTTCTGTTCATTATTTCTTAAATTCTAACAATTTTATTAGAAAATGCATTTTGATTTTATTTAACATTTTAACCCTTTGATATGACATCTTATTCAGGTTGTTATGTGAAATTTATATTAATTTTAAATGTCAATTTTTTCTTGAGTGTTTGTTTGTTTGTTTGTTTACTGGAGAGGTTTTTGCTATAGGGTGTGTGTGCTCACCAGACAGACAGAGAAAGATAGAGAGACAGAAGTGAGAAAGCACCCCCCTCCCAGGGAGGATGACCATGCCACAATTCCTTCTCCTCCATTCTCCCCTTGGGATCTTGGGCACACACGCACATGTGCCCGGCATGAGTTGAAGCCACTGGGTCCAGGACTCAAATTGTGGTCAGCTACATGGGAGTCCAGCAACATAGTCACTACACCATCTGCTGGTCCCTTGAGTGTTTATTTAAATGTTTAAGTTTAAGTGATAGGGTGTGTGTGTGTGTGTGTGTGTGTGTACACAAGAGAGGGAGACAGAAAGAGAAGTACCCTTGATCAGGTCTCATCACACTGTGATTCCCTTTCCCCAGTCCTCTAGCTCCTCAGGAACTTGGGCACCCTGCACATGCCTGGCATGTTTTCAAGCTGGCTTGGGGATCTGAGCCCATGGTCAGACCCATGGCTTCCAGCACTGCAGTCCATAGTGTACTGGCTGAGTCTAAATATTTACTTTATTTAAACTTTTTTGTTCCTTTGGGAGAAGCTTGCAGGTATGTGTTCACCTGTCTGTAAAGCTGTGCCTTACAGCTGTCTCAGTGGCATAGCTGTAAAGCACCTCTCAAGAAAAGCCAGATGTGAGGGAGGGAATCAAGGAGAAGAAGGAAGAAAAACATATAAGTGACCCACGGTGGAAAGCAATCTGTCGATCACAATGGTTATGGTAATGTCTTTGACTGGGCCTACATGCAGTGTATTCATGATGGGAAAATTTATCTGGTATGCTGTGATGCTACACAGTAATTAAATGTGAGGAGAAGAAATTTAAGGAGAAGAAAAAATGAATAAATAAAACTTTTTTAAAAAGAAAGAAAAGTTACATGTCACATGGCAACCATAGTTCAATTCCTGAGCACAGTCAACCTGAAACACACTGGGTATGCATGAGAGTGCCCAAGACCTAACAGGCTGGAGGACTGGAGGAAGGGAAGCACAGTGTGTACAAACCTTGTGTAAGGTCTCGCTCTTTCTCTTTTCTGTATATACCTACGCTGTCAAGTATACAGGGAAAGAAAACTTAAAAACAAAACAAAACAAACAAAAACTGTGCCTTCCAGACTCCCTTCAGAGATTTC